CTCCAGCACCACAGCTCAAAAGCATCAACTCTCCTTCTGTCCTCCCTAGTCATTGTCCAACTCTCTGATGCATAACAAGCGATTGCAAAGACCATAGCCTGTATCAGGCGCACCTTAGTCTCCAGAGAGACACCGGCATTCCAGTATTCATATATGTGTATTCAAACTGGCATACTCTAAAGACTGGAGCATTATCATCTTAGGGTGTCTCCTGGTTAGGAGGCTATAACAGAGCTGTTGAAGTAATTAAAAAAAAAAAAAAATTAAACGAAACTGGGTTTTTAATGGCTAATATTTTGAAATAGATTCTCCCTGGCCTTTTTTTCTGAGGTACTTCTGGGTATACTCAAGCCTTTGGTCAGCAGCCAAGCACATTAACCTTTTGCACAGTCCAAGGACTCTGAATTGAGTCCTGGTAGCCTTGTGCATTATTCCTTGGCTGCTTCAATTTGAATCTACCAGCAACTCCGCAAGAAGGAAGATATTGTTTTTCCATAAAGATCTATAGCCTTAGAAATCAATGGAAGGTTTGCATTCATTAGAATTGAATGGAGGGGAGTGGATGGGACTCTGAAGATAATACTGTGAAGTGATTGAATGAGAGGACTCTAGAACCAGACCCTTTGAGTTCAAACCCCTTAATAATAGTGAGCCCCAGGTCATATTGGATAACAATACTACAGGAATGGCTAGAAGGAAGAAATAGCTAATCACAGTTGTTAATGGGGTGCGTGGGGGGGGGGATCTCTGTACAGCTGTTAGTACTTATTATTGACCAATGCTACCACCTGCTGGACATCTGGAGCAAGGTTTTTTGGCTAAGGGCTTCTTGGTGGGGACCTAATCCTGGAGAGGGAGTAGGAACTAAAGAATAGAACTGTAATTTGCTCCAAGTGCTACAGAATGCAGCAGACTCAGCTCTTGTTTGTGGCCACAGAGGGCACCATGGGAAATGAGATAGGGCCTCAGGAGGAGGGAGGAAGAAGCTAGCCTGGCCCAGTGCCTGTTTCGATCCCTGTGTCCTCCAAGCCCGGCCTGAGCCAAGAGGAACCAGCTTCAGGGAAGGAATGGGGAGAGAGAAGGTCATTGCTGACGTCAGGGACATGCAGGTAGGAGGTAAACACAGTTTTGACCGATATTTATCTACCTTCCTCCTGTTCCTACTTGCTGGACAGCCTTTTTTCTAGCACTCCTTGAACAGCTCTCACATTCAGCACTGCTCTGGCCTCACACTACTGAGCTCTCACTCAGGTGCTATTGCTTCTCCCCACCCTGGCCCTTAGGCTGGCACGGGTGGGGATAAACAAGACAGAGAGGACGCCTTGAGGGCCCAGTGCTTTCATATGACATCCCCTGTGTAGGGCAGAAGTGAGTGTGAATATGGGGACCAGAGGCTTCTGTGCTCATTTCCCCAGTGCAGCCCCAGGAGCCCCTGGAAGGTAGCTTGTATTGGTGTCTCAACACAAGAAACTGAGACATACAAGAAACTCAATACAAGAAAATCTAAGAGTCACTGAGTGACTCAGTCATTGGAGGGCTCTCTGAAGGGGTGGGGAGGTGGTTGGGCCATGACTCTAGGACACTCCTGGCCCAGATGTCTTCCAGAGGGAGCCAAGGATTTTGCATGTTTAACAAGTTCGCCCAGGACTCAGGACATCTGATGCCTGGTTATTCTCATTTCAGTCTGAGAAGCTCCAGCTTTCAGGTCTGCTCCAACTCTGAAGATCGGAATGAACTTCCTTCATCCATTTTATCTGCGGACAAGAGGGCCAGGGCAGACTGCCAAAGAGAGGAAGAGAGCCATTTTATTAGCAAAAATAAATAATATATAATGGGCAAATGGAAAGAAATGATCACTCAAGAATCCAGTGGAGAAATCCTGGGGGAAAAAAGTCAGTCGCTTAATCTAGAGGCTGAGGTGGGTGGGCGCCAGAGAGGTTCCGGGAGCTAGTCCTCCACCCAGTGGGGGCAGCAGGGTAATCAGGGGCGTCTCGCATTCCCCAAGCAGCACGTCCCTGCGGAGCCCGGCACCCCTGTCCAGCACCTTGGCTTTCAGGCTGAGGTTGGGGAGGTCAAGCGGGCCGAGCCCGTCGAAGAAGAAATCCTCGTTGAAGATGGGGTTGGCACTGCACTTGACCACACGGCTCCGCTGGCCCCGCGGTCGCACGCGCGGCCGCAGCCTCAGCACCACGCAGCAGCCGCCGCCACCGCTCCCGGAGGATTTCCGCGACCCGGGCAGGCCTTCCGCGCTCACCAGGCGCAGCCGCAGCCGCCGCGGCCCCGCGGGGTACTCGGCCGAGAGGCGCAGTTGCCCTCCGCGCGGCCCGAGGCGCAGCACGCTCTCCTTGGTTGGCCGCAGCTGGCAGCACAGGAAGTCCAGGTGGAAGAGCGGCGGCGCGGGCGGCCCCGCGCTGCGCGGCGCGTACGGGCTTGTGTCGGCCGAGCTCGCCTCCTCCGGGGACAGGGACTGCAGCCGGCGCTGGCCGGGGTCTGGGCGCGGGGAGCCGAAGGGCGACGAGTCGGGCGACGAGGCCGTGTCGCTGTCGGGGGCCCGGCAGAGACGCAGGTCCGGAGTGGAGACGTGCAGCCGGGACTGCGCTGGCGGGAGCCCTTCGGTGGGCGCGAGTCTTTCGGCGGGCGCGCGCGGCGGCGAGTGAAACAGGGACTCGCGCCGGCGCGTGTGCGGGCTCTCGGGGAGGAAGGCCCAGCCCTCGCGGCCCGCCAGGTGCGGCAGCGAGCAGACGGTGGGGAGGCCTCGCCCGCCCGCGTCGCGCCCCGGCGGAGGCTCGGCGCCGCCTGGGTCTGGGAGCCGCGGCGGGATGAAGAACTGCGGGATGCGGTCGGGAGTGAGGATGTTGGGACAGGAGGGCGGGCCCGGTGCGCGGCGCTTGGGGAACAAGTTGGAGGGCACCCACTGAGGTGCGGAGTCCACACTCCCCACGGTGTAGCCAGCCTTCTTCAACAGCCACATGCAGTGGGAAGAGAGTGATGGAAATGGGAATGCTGCGAAGGCGACAGAGTCTAAATCCTGGGTCTCAGTTTGGAGGGCTGGGTAGAGGAGAGAAGAGTAGTGATTCCAGGAGGGTGCACACGTTGTGCACAGCCATGCCTTCTCCTCAAGGGGCCAGGGTGCCCAGTCTTTATTTGAACAGGAAAGGCAAAGGGGAGCTAGGTTTAGAGGCTGGAAGAAATAGAGGGAGCCCAGAGCCAGACTCACATTTTCAGAGCCAGGTCTCAGACACTCAGTACACAACATCTTACAGGTACTAAAGATGCTCCTGTTCACCCCTGTTTAGTGTTGACACAACACACCCACTAGAATAAATGGAACAACACCTGCTTTACCCAAAGGTTTGTAGGGACAAACACAGATCCATAGCCCAAACCTGCGTGTACTACACCAGAACCCTTAAGGGACAACGAGGCCCTGAGAAGTCTCAGTCCCCCCCCTTCCCTCTCCATTCTGAAGACAAGACTTGTCTGGAGCCCCTCGGAGCTCCCTCCCCACCCGCGCGCACTTCTCTCTCGCGACAGGGCCATCCTTGGGCCTCCGGCCCCACCTGCCTCCACTGGCTCCTCCCTTGCTTTTCTGAGCCGCTCCAAGCCTGAAGCAAACTCACCGCACAACTTGCTGCTACACGGAGGGCACCTGGAGGTTCAAGGAGACGCACCTCTGGGAGGAACGGAATCCCTGATCCCTTAACCTGATCTAGTCCGCTGCCCACCAGGCCCTTGGGCCGCCCCTCACACTCTCCATTCCTTTCCTTCCTTGGAAACTGCGGAACACAAAGGCAGCTTTGATTCTCTGGCGATCCACAGAGCGCTCTCACGGCTCTAGAAGGCTTCGCTGCCCTGTGTTCACTGCCCCCCTGCACCACATTCCAGGAGCTTGGGATAGCGGCCAGGGTGGGTAGAATGGGGCGCCTAGAGTGCAGACCTCACCTGTGGGCCACCGCAGGGTCCTGGTTTCTGTTCCAGAGCAATCGGTGCCCCAAAAGGAGCCGCTTCCTCTCGAGCTTACTTCTCCAGCGCAGTCCTGGGAGGAGCTGGCAGGGACCTCTGCTGCCTACGTCGGACCTCTTTTTCCTGGATAAACACGGTTCTGTCTCTTCAGCCATCAAGCTGACCAGCCTTCGTAACTTCTGCCAGCCCTGGGCCAGCTCTGCATCCTGGCCTGGGCTGGTTGGAGAGTGGGTATGAGGGTGCAGTAAATACAGAGAAGGCTACCCCTGGGCCCCGACACCCCTTCCTGCAGCACTGGCATCACCTCAGTCCTCCTAGGTGAAGCTTACAATCATGGCCACACAAATAGCCTCTTCACAAAAGGGCCCTTGCCAGGGCCCTTCCTTTTGGCCTATTCTGGAGCACACTGCCAGGCCATCCTTAGTAGCCCTAGGGCAGAGCGACTTGCAAAGAATAGTTCTCTGTACACTGTGGCCAGGCTCAGTGTTTTTGGACATAGAGGTGCTGAAGATGGAGGTGGGCTCTGACAGTCAGGGCCATGGTCCCCATTATTAGCAGAAGCCTGTCCTATTAGCATAAACAGATGTTTCCCCCACCTCAGGCAGATCCTAGAAAGCTTCGGCCACCACTCTGGAGAAGATTATTGTTGCACTGCAGCTGGGACCACCACCCTTCTGTCTCAAAGGCAGCAAACTCATTCGCCCTGGGACCTTTAATACAGGCCGTATAATCTCTTGTGAGTGCTTCCCTCTTCATCTTTCAGATCTAGAGTCCCTCACTGAGATGCTTCTATCCGTGTGGGGGACCCCTGGTGGTGCAGTGAAGAGCTCTGCTGCTCCACTGTAGAAGGTCTCCCTACAAGGCCATTCTGGTCTGTCCTATAGAGTTGCTGTGAGTTGAAATCAACTTGATGGCACATTTTTTGTTTTTAAAAAAAAATCAATCTGACAATAATGTTTGGCTTACATTTAAATTTAGAGGTAGGGAAGAATTCAGGACAGTTTAATTCTGTGGCTTCTTTCATTCATTTATATCAGTTCCTGAGCACCTGCTATGTGTGAGGCACTCTTCTGGGCTCTAAGGTTATAAAAATGGTATGATTCTTATGGACACAGGGAAAAGAATCCCTATAATTTTTTAAAATTAATTTTAATTAAAGTTTACAGAGACTTAGGGTTTCCAGTCATTTATTGTTGCACTTTTTCTCCCTCCCTGTTCACTCTTCTCCTTGAAAAGAAAGAAAAACTCTTTCATTGCTATGCAGTCCTTCCCCCCAAGTCCACTCCACTATGCAGCCTTCACTCTGGACTTCTGTAATGACAAGAATACCCATTCATATATCCCTTTTAAACAGTTCTCTCCCTCATCTGTTTCAATGCAATATACATCATTCTCCCTGTCCTTTTCTTTCTTTCCTCAAACCTGATGTCAATTCTGTTTTACAGTAGTGGCCCTATGCAACATTTGTCATTTTGTGACTGAGATATTTCCCTCAGCATAATGTCCTCCAGGGTCATCCATTTTGCATATTTCATGAGTTCCTTGTTTTTCAATGCTGCATAGTGTTCCATTGTGTAAATATACCAGAGCTGCTCTATCCATCTGTTTGTTGATGGGCACTTGGGTTGTTTCCAACTCTTTGCTAATGTGAACAAAGCAATAAACATGAGTGTGCATATATCTGCTTGGATGTCAGTTATGGTCTCTTTAGGGTATATTCCCAGTAGTGGAATTGCTGGGTCAAATGGTATCTCTATTTGCAACTTTTTGAGAAAGCGCCATACAGCCTTCCATGGTGTTTGCACCATTTTACACTTCCACCGACAGTGAATAAGGATTCCAGTTTCTCCGCAACCTTGCCAGCATTTGATGTTTGCTGTTCTGTTAAATTTTGCTATTCTTACTGGGGTAAGATGATATAGTTGTTTTGATTTGCATCTCTCTTAGAGCTAGGGATTTTGAACATTTCTTCATGTGTTTGTTTGCCCTCTGAATGTCTTTGTTGACGTGTCGGTTCATATCCTGTGCCCATTTTTCAATTGGGTTATTTACCTTTATCTTGTTGTTGTGCTTGAGTATTTTATAAATTCTAGATCTAAGTCCCTTGTCTGACATGTCATTTCCAAATATTTTTTCCCAGTCTGTGGCTTCTCTTTTTACCCTGTTGGAGAAGTTTTTGGATATGCATAGAGATTTGATTCTTAGAAGGTCCCATTCATCTATTTTATCCTCTCCTCATTGCAGAAGAATCCCTATCATTTTATATATATTTATATGTATATATATGTATGTGTATGTATATGTAAATATATGTATGTCTATGTATATGTGTGTGTATATATATAATAGTATAGATATGTATATAAAATAAAACAAACAGATACCTCTCTGGATGTACTTACCAGTCTATGCCAAGAAATTTAGAAGACAGCTCCCTGACCAACTGACTGGAAGATGTCTATATTTATTCCTATCACCAAAATTTGTGACCATATAGAATGTGGAAATTATCAAACAATATCACTAATATTACATACAAACAAAATCTTGCTGAAGATTATTTTAAAAATAACTAGAACAGTGTATCGACAGAAAACTGCCAGAAATTTAAGTTGGATTTAGAAGAGGCTGTGGCACCAGGGCATAGGCGTGTTGGAGTCAGTGAGACTGGTATAGGTAAGGCTTCAGAGCTGTTGTACATAGGGTCATTATGAGTTGCAGGTGACTCGAGGGCAGCAACAACAACAAACACAACATGGCACAAAGTTATCTTTGCTGGTGTCAGATGGATCCTGGCTGAAAACAGAGAATACCAGAAGAATGTCTATCTGAGTTTTATTAACTATACAAAGGCATTTAATGCTGTGGATCATAACAAATTATAGCTAACACTGAGAAAAATGAGAATCTCAGAACTCTTAATTGAGTTCATGAGAAACCTATACCTAGACAAGAATCTGTTGTCCAAACAGAGCAAAGGTACACTGCATGATTTAAAATCAGGAAAGATGTGCATTAAGGCTGTGCATTATCCTTTCTCAATATCTGTCAGTGGGCTGAGCAAATAATTTGATAGGCTGGATTTTATGAAGAAGAATGTGGCCTCTGAGGAAGATTCAACAATCTGTGTTATATAGATGACACAACTTTATTTGCTGAAAGTGAGGAGGACCTGAAGCACTTACTGCAGAATTTAAAAGACTACAATTTTAAATATTAATTATGTCTCAACGTTGTTGTTATGTGCCATTGAGTCATTTGCGACTCATAGCGACCCTGTGTACAAGAGCCCTAAACACTGTTCTATCCTGTGTCAACCTCTCTGTCTCAAACACATTCATTCCCACCACTCCACTCACAGAATCGATCCATCTCATCGAGGGTCTCCCTCTCCTGCGCTGTCCCTCCACTCTCCCAAACATGATGTCCCTCTCCAAGGACCAGTCCCTCCTTGCAACATACCCAAAGTATGTCAGACGAAGCTTCAGAATCCTTGACTCCAGGGAACATTCTGGCTTCACCCGCTCCAGGACAAACCTGTTTGTTCTCCTAGCAGTCCATGGTATATTCAACACTCTTCTCTAGCACCACAACTCAAAGGCATCAATTCTCTTTCTAGAAAACAAAAATCTTCACCACTGGACCAATCAACAATATTATGATAGAGAAAAGGTTAAAATTTTCAACAATTTCATCTAATTTGAATTCCCAATCAACACCCTTGGCACCAACAGTTAAGAAATCAAAAGACATGTTGTATTTGGAAAATCTACTGTCAAGGACCTCCCTGGGGTCTTAAGGAGTAATGATATCAACTGAAGACTAAGGTACACCTGATTCAAGCCATAGTCTTTTCAGTCACTTGCTATACATCTAAAGTTGGATGATGGCAAAAGATGGCTGAAAAAAGAGTCCATGCTTTTGAGGTGTAGTGAAGAGTATTGAATATCCCATGGACTTCCAAAAGAATAAACAAATATATCCTGGATAAAGGTGACGTTAGGATGCTTCTTGGAGACAAGGATAGTGAAGCTTCATCTAACATAGTTTGGACTTGTTGTGAGGAGGGGCTAGTCCTTGGAAAAGGAGCTTGTGCTTGGAAAGGTGGAGGATCAGCAAAGGCAAAGATCCTCAATGAGGTGGAATGACTCAGTGGCTGCGGCTAAAGGCTCAAGTATATCAGAGATGATGAAGATGGCACAGGCTAAGACAGGGTTTGGATCAATTGTTCACAGGGTTGCTATGAATCATAGTTAACTCAGTAGCATCTAACTATATATATCGAGAGACAACTGTACCAGCAAAGTGTTGTGAGATGGAGAAAAGCAATGGCAATAGATAGAGGGAGATAAAGAGAGGAAAAATAGATAAAGGGAGATAGAGGAGAAACCGTCACTTAGATTCAGACCTCTAGCTTCCTAAATTGGGAGAGAATACATTTCTTTTGCCAATGATAGTTATAGTGCCTCTGTGATAGCAGCACTTGCTAAACCAAGACAGATCCCCTTCAAATGTCTACTAAGTATAGGGATCTCTGGTGGCCTACTGGTAAGAAGCTGCACTGCAGTCCCAGAGGTACACGGTTTGAAACCACTTGATGCTCTGCTGGAGAAGGAGAGGCAATCTGATCTGATTTGATGGTACACACACACACACACACACACACACACACACACACACACGTTAATTTAAAAAAAATTTTTTTAAGCCTACTAGATACAGAATTTGTTACAAATTCCTGTATAATTTTTCTTAATGTTTTCCATCTGTCTTGTCTTCCCCGATCTAACCCATATCAGTCCCTAACTTGCTCTAGTGTAAAGTCATGCACAGGTCTCCTAACTAGTGCTCCTGACTTCAGTGTTGTTGATCCCTAACTGCATTATGTAGATGACACAACCTTGTTTGCTGAAACTGAAGAGGACCTGAAGTGCTTGCTGCAGAAGGTCAAGGACTGTAGTCTTCAAGCCCAACATCAAGAAGACAAAGATTTTCACCACTGGGCCAATTGGCAGCACCATGATAGATAGAGGCTGAGGTTGTTAGCAATTACAGCTTGCTCAGCTCCACAGTCAACACTCAGGGCACCAGCAGTCAGGAATTCAAAAGATCAATTGCATTGGAAAAATCTGCTATCAGGGAACTATCTGGAGTACTGAAAAGCAATGATGTCAGTCTAGAAACTAAGGTGTGCCTAATACAGGCCATTGTCTTTGCAGTTACTTGCCATGCATCAGAGAGCTGGACAATGACTAAGGATGACAGAAGAATAATCAATGCCTTCAAAATGTGGTGCTAGAGTAGAGTCTTGAACATACCATGGACTGCCAAGAAAACAAAGAGGTCTGTCATGGAGAGGGTGAAACCAAGTTTCTCCTTGGAGGCTAGGATTTTGAAGCTCTGTCTCATATACTTTGGGCATGTGGCCAGGAGAGACCAGTGCTTAGAGAAGGACATCATACTTGAAAGGGTGGACGGACAGTGCAGGAGAGGAAGAACCTTGATGAGATGGATTGATACAGTGACTGGGGTTATGGGGGTTGGTGTGTCAGGATCAGAGACTGGCTCAGGACAGTACATGGTTCAGAGCTGCTGTACATAGGGTCACTATGGGTCACAGATGATCCGATGGCACATAACAATAACTGCCACTAATGTCAATGTTCCCAAAAGAAAAACTTTATAACTCTTTCAGAAATTTCTCCTTGTTGACTTTAAGCCTTATAGTCTTATGAAGCTTCCCATGGTCTATCTATCCCTGCTGATCTGCCTATCTTTATTGTTACACCTGCATGATTCAAGGCCCCCTGGGGCACAAGAGGAAATATCCTGCTTAGTTCTGTGCCACATCCATGATGGGGTGGCATAGGACTATTGTCTGGTTTGCAGAAGTAGATGCCTATGCCTCTTTTTCTGAGTTTCCAAGTTCTGCTGTAACCTGCTCAGCATCACAGTAACATGTAAACCTACCTTCTCCTGCCCTCCTCAGCACCCGCTCTGCTCCAAAATCAGCGTGTAGTTCCACCTCTGAGTACTTTTGCTCTTACTCTTCCTCTGACTGGATGTTACTCCGCACCTCAGCCTGCCTTGTGCAAAGCATTTAACTTTTTTAAAAAGTTTTTTCTTTTATATTGTTTTGCTCAAAAAGTTTGTATGTTTCACACTATTATTCATTCACATTGTGTTTCATACAATAATTCCTATGCATTATGTTTTATAAAATTAACTTTAAAAAAATTCATTGTTGCACATTTTCTTCCTCCCTTCCTTTTCTCTCACCCAGCCTATCCCACAATACACACCTTGTTCCAGATTGTTGTTGTACATATAATGTCTACTCATATCTTCCTTTCAGACAGTTCTTCTCCTCATCTGTTCTAATGTAGTGTTCATTCTCTATACATTCTTTTCCCATTCTCTCCCCAACAATCCCCATGTCTGTCCTATTTTTTTCCCTCCCCCCAATTTTTGTTCTTTTGTGATTGAGATATTTCACTCAGCATAATGTCTTTCAGGCTTCCCTGTGTTGTATAATGTTTTAGGAGTTAATTGTTTTTCTATGCTGCATAATATATCCATTCGTTTGTTGATAGGTGCTTGGTTGCTTCCATCTCTTTGCATTGTGAGTAATGCAACAATAAACATGGGTATGTATACATCTGCTTGAGTCTTAGCTGTGATTTCTTTAGAATATATTCCCAAAAGTGAAATTGCTGGGTCAAACAAATGGCATTTCTATTTCTAAATTTTTATTTTATTATTTTTTAAGTATTTTATCTTACTATTTTGTGTGTGTGTACCGTCAAATCACATCTGACTGGTACAGGAGGAGATTGCCCCTCCTCCAGCACAGCATCTGGTGGATTCAAACTGTGTACCTCTGGGATTGCAGTGCAGCTTCTTTCCACTAGGCCACCAGAGCTCCCTGCTATTTCTAAATTTTTTTTTTTCAGACTGACAGGTATTTTATTTTCCAAGGAATTTTGAGAAATGATCACAGTTGTAGGACGCCCAGAAGAAAAGAAAATCACACTTAAAGAAAAATTGTTTTAAACAATCTCTGACAACTTCCTAAAATCCTAGAGTTGCTTGTTTTGAGCCTAACTTACAAAAAAGATAAAACAGGAACAAACAGCATACTACATTGTGGAATTGGTGTCAGCTTGCCGGGCAGCTTCAGAGCAAGACCCCTGCGCTCAGCTCCTGGTAGAACTATTTCTAAATTTTTTTAAAAAAAATTTTAAAAAATGTCTTTTTGAGAAACTGCCAGACCATCTTCCATAGTGATTGTACTATTTTACAGTCCCACCAGCAGTAAATAAGAGTTCCAAAATCTCGACAACCTCACCAGCATTTGTTATTTGCTGCCCTGGTTGAACTTTTCTGTTGTTGCTGGGATGAGATGATACCTCATAGTTATTTTGAGAGTTTAACTTCTGAGAGTCTGTTCAAGCACAATGTCTTGTTTCTATAAAGCCTTTTCTGAACTTTTTCCTAATGTTGACTCCTCCCCGTTTTGTGCCTTCACTGCATCCATGGCAGGTAAGAGTGGGAGGAGTGTGATGGGAGCATTCTTTGCACACTGCTTCTGACCCCTATTCTCTTCCATTCATTAGTGAGCACCTCAAATCTCACCTGGTACCTGCTGTTCGGTCACTGTATTCTGTTGGTGCTGAAGGGGAAATGGGTATGTAAGAGGCTCTGCACTGATTAAATGTCCAACAACAGAAGGATCTTGGACAGAAAAATGTGGCTTGTAAGATTTTATTCACAGGGGAGTACTCTCCTTCATGTCATCATTTGCTTCCTGGAGTCCCCCTCACCGCCCGGTGGTTGGTCTTAGGTCAGTGGGGTCAGAGGTGGGCTCTCCTAAAGACAGTGACCATTACTGTGATGGCTCCTCTTCCAGCTTCAGCTGGAGGAAAACAGCTGCAAGAGAGAAAAACAGCTGCTGAGTGGCCGGAGGCAGGTGGGAGGGTAGCAGCTGATGGGGCACTCTGGGCAAGTTACTCCCAATCACCCATTATGAGGACCCTGCTGTGTGGGACAGGCTGAGCGAGATATGTTTAAAAAGTCTTAGTTGCTTTCTCCACGTTTTACCTATGTCCCAGCCCTAAAACACTGGCCCTCAGTTCTGGACTGGGTCATTAGCATTCTTCCTCCCTTCCGTTTGTTCTGGGGTGGGTAGGGACAGGGCAGAGCATAAGGGTGGAGGCTGAGGACCTCTTACCTGAAGACTTGGCATAAACCGTCTGCTCATCTCTGCTCTGGGCGACACAGGAGATGTAAATCTTCTGGTCCTCAATTTTTTCTACTTCAACATTCAGCACAGCCAGGGAGCCCAGAGGGATCAGTCTGAAGGGGCAGCTGGCTTAGCCCATCTCTCACTCAGCCCTCACCCCTGCCCTGGTACTGCCCACCCCCTTCCTGCGTTCACCGCATCAAGGGCTCATAAGTGGCTCTGGGCTCAGGCCCCATCTTCAGCTCCCAGAGAAGGTTGCATTCTGGACAAGAGGTTAGAGGGATTGCGTGGGAGTGGGAGGAAGGAGAGTGCCAGGTAGGGTCCCTGTATCCCAACTGCTGAGAGTAGCCTTCCTCTCAGGAATGAAAAATCCCATGACCTTGGCTAACAGTCTAAGGCTCTGCACTTACTTTTTGAACTTGATGTTGAGGTTAAGGGTGAACAGTCCCTCTCCAGCCAGGTAGGCTATTTTAGAGAAGGTCTCATCCATCATGGCTGCCAAGGACCCTCCATGAGCAAACCTGAAGGAGGGGCAGGGAGGAAGGTACAGCCGGGGTTCGCTGCACATGGAGCCTTTCCTCATCCTGGGTCGGAACGACCCCTGATCTCACTTCTCCAGATCCTGCCAAAACCATATCTCTAGCCTCAGGACAGCAGAACAGGAAAGACACAGATCTGGCTTCTGTCTGATCAAACTAGTCAAAACTGACCAACCAAGCTTTTCTCCAGTGTTAGCAACCACTGAGGCAATTCTTTTATTTCATCAAGAAATCCACCCCCCACCCCACCCCCACCCATGGAGTTAATGGGAAAGCCCTGGGGGCCATAACTGCCATTATTTGGAAGGCTGTGCTCACATAAGGAACAGAAACCCCCAGATGTTTTTGTCACCATCTTTGAAGCATGTCTGTGGGTTGTGTCTCACCGTCACCATTACCAGGGCAAGTACTGGGCCTGCCTTTCAAGACAGATGAGTGTTAACTGTACCTTATAACTTACGAAGTGCAATGTTATTGTTGTTATATACCATTGAGTGGAATGGAATCATAACTGGCCCTCCTGTGGGTTTTCAGAGGCAGTAAATTGCATGGAAGAGATTGCCCATCTTTCTTCCATGGAGCAGCTGTTTGGATTTGAACCATGTATGTGCCTTTGTGTTGGCAGTACAGCAGTTTACAGCTGGGCCAATAGTTGTTAGGTGCCTCCGTTTGATGAGGACTCATAGCAACAATGGATCTGAACCCTGTCCTGTGCTGTCCTTGTCATCTCTGATATACTCGAGTCCGTTGTTAGTCACTGTGCTAGTCCATCTCCTTGATAGCTTCCTTTCTTTCTATGACCCTCCAACATGATGGGTTTTCCCCAAGAACTGGCCTCTCCTAGGGAGCACCCTCGTTGGCCACCAGAGCTCCCTTAATCAAATGCAATACCAGCAAGGCCATGCCAGTGCAGCCTGCAGGAAGCTCACCTTTCTACAGGATACAGCAAACACTGGTTTTATTTAAAATGCAGAAAATTCTCACCTGCACTTGTGTAAGCTGACTCTCATGCCAGAGCTACTCCTCTGCTGGGTGCCAATTGCCATCAAGTTATTTTTGACTCATGGCAATTTCCTGTGTGCCCAAGGAGAACTCTGCCATAGAGGTTTTCAATGGTTATGATTTTGGCATGTAGTTAACAGGGCTTCCTTCTGAGGCTCTGCTGGGGGGATTGAACCTCTTCTAGCCTTACTAGTCAGAACTCCTCATTCATTGGGGGAAATGTGAAAGACTTTAGAGTGCAAACAACACAAACCCAATTTAAATGCCTGTCATTAAGCAGTCTGATCCTGATCCTGCACAGACCAGGGCAGATGCCTTGCTGTCCCACCATGAGTTACCATCCTGCACCTGCCACCCCTCTTTACTGGGCCTCCTCCACCCCCTCACCCCAGCACTGCCTTTGGTGGAAATAGCAAGGGGCCATGGAACCAAACCACATTGGTCTGACTCTTCCTGTGTGATCTCGAACAAGTTGCTCATGTGATGGGTAATGTTGGGTCTACGTGGTTAGGCCACAAGTCTCAGTATTATGTAATTATCCTTCATCTGATGATCTGATACACAGGGAGTTCCTTCAGGGTATAGCCTACATCTGGTGTATATGAACTTTCAGCTATGGCTTGAACCGGAAGCCTTCCACCTGACTGACTTATCTGGGACCCTTTAACCACTGCGACCATGTGAGTCAAGAGAAGCCTCCAGCCTGACTCCTGACCCATATATCTAGGTCTTGCAAGCCAGCCTCCACTACATCATAAGCCATTTCCTTAAAAGAATGCTCTATGTATTGATAAGAAACCTTGGGAACTCAACTGGTTATATGCAGGGGTGCTAACGGAAAGGTCAGCCATTCGAACCCCCAGTCACTCTTTAGGAGGAAGATGAGGTAGTCTATCTTCTAAAGATTTACAGCCCCAGAAACCTTATGGGCAGATTTACTTTTCCCTCTGAATCAGAATTGACTTGATAGAAGTGTGTTATATGAAATTTTTTGTTTATATAATCAACACTCTTGGTACCAGCAACCAAGAATTCAAAAGATTAATTGCATTGGGAAAATCTGCTGTCAGGGACCTCTCTGGAGTACTCAAAAGCAATGATGTCAGTCTAGAGACTAAGACTGCAATTACTTCCTATTCATCAGAGAGCTGGGCAATGACTAAGGATTATGGGAGAATTGATGCCTTTGAGTTGTGGTGCTGGAGAAGTGTATTGACTATACAATGGACTGCTGGGAGAAGAATCAGGTTCATGGTGGAGAGAGTGAAGCCAGGTTGCTCCTTGGATGCAATGATTTTGAAGCCTCATCTGACATATTTTGGGCATGCTGTGAAGAGGAACCAGTACTTGAGAGGGACGTCATGCTTGGAAGGGTAGGGCCACCGAACAAGAGAGGAAGACCCTGGATGAGATGGATTGACTCAGTGACTGGGGTAATGGGGTAGGTGTGACAGAGACAATGAGGGTGGCACAGGATAGAACAGGGTTCAGAGCTGTTGTACATAGGGTCACTATGAGTTGCAGGCAACTTGACGGCACATAACAACACATACACATGCACACACACTCTAGTCACTGTTTTGTTCCTTTAGACAACCTAACCTAATCTTTCCGAGCCTTCATTTTCCATTGTAAATGAAAAAAAAAAGTGAAGCTTTATGAGTACTTCTGAGCATTCCTTTCCTAACACATTCCAAAACTACTTGAAAAAAGGAAAAACCTTAGGCCTGTTCTTCCTTCCTTGTTCTCATTGGCCAGGCAGGGGACCTACTAGCAAGTTTCTACAGGGTGCTTCCTGGCTGGTTCCCCATTGCTTAGGGAACTTACCATCTTCTCTGACCCCACGCAGTCTGACTGTGCTTGGCCTCAACCGTGGATTGTCCTCCTCTGCCCACAGACTCTCACTAGTTTGGAGAGGGCAGTCTGAATTCATGGCCTCTGCAGAGATGCTGACATCTCTCTCATTGTTCAGTTGATTCAGGCCCATGTAGACCCTATGTATGCAGAGTCGAACTACGCTCTGTGGGGTTTTCGAGGTTATGACCTTTCAGAAGCAGATGACTTT